ACAGGGGGACCAGGACTGAAAGTCTGAGCCCAGGACGGGGAAGATTCTGGATTCTTTGATGATGCATATTGTACTTTTGTTTACTTTAAATAACAATCTCTTTTCTGCTTATAAATATATACTCATGGAAAAATAAAAAAAATAAAGGCCATGATAAAATTAAAATGAAATCAATCATAATCCTGCCAAACAGAGACATTTCGCTGTTTCTTTCCAATTTTTTCCCCTAAGCATATATATTTAAAAAATTATTTATTACATATATATATACATCTTACATACATACACATACATGATATATATACACTGTGTTCCATGCACTGTGCTGAATAATGGGAGTACACCAAGACAAACACAGTTCCTGCCCACAGAGCAGAGAAAGAGCCAGCGAACAGTTCTAAACTATGCTGAGCGCCATCTTGCTGGCTGGATCCAGGCGTTTGGGGCTCAGAGGAAAGGAGGTGGGAGGAAAGGCAGAGGGAAAGGAGGGGTTAATGGCCATAGTTTTTCTGACCAACACCAAGGATTTTTTTTTAATTGCCAATTTGACATGCAAATAAACGACCTCACTTTTTTTGCATTTCTTTTATTGAAGGTAAGGATGAACTTTAAAAAAAATGTTTATTGGCCTATGGTCTCTCTTTTGTGAATTGATGGTTTATATTCCCGGATTTGATCTTATTCACCTCTGATTACTTTGCCACAAAGGGGAACGGAAGAGCTTTTAAATGAACAAATTCCAAAGACTTAGAACATCCCTATCAGGGGAATGTCATTTGCATATGATTTTAATGCAGATTCCTATGTTGCAACAATATACATTTTCTGAATGCTTCTTGAGTCCAGCATGGCACAAAGGAAAAAGTATTCAGAGCTAGAAGAGCTGGAGATGAGTTTTAATGACCAAAGAAAAGTCATTTCATTTCTTCCATCCTCAGTTTTCCCATCTATAAAATGGAGATAATAAGGAAACATTCCACTCAGTGTTGCTGTGAAGAATAAGATCAGGGTAACCAGCACAAAAATAGAATGCATCTAGCATGGTGCATACCACACAGTCAGCCCTCAGAAAATCTTGGATTCTGTGCTGATTTTTCCTTCCTTACATGGACGGGCTATTGGAAATGAGAGAAAGGAAAGCTTTCTCTGGAGTGAGAATCGCCAGAAAAGGTTTCCTAAAGGTACAATGTGAACTGGGCCATAAAGGGTGGAAAGGATTCTGGCATGGTGGGTGGAATATTCTGGGTGTGGAGCCATTTAAGTTAGAATGGAAGCTTGGGGTCAAGCTGTCCTAGTAAATGCTGCTGTTATTCATTTCCCAGTATGTGCCAAGAGCACAGCCGTGAATCCACACGAGCCAGTATATTATTACTATTTTTATCATCATCATTATTCCCCCCTTTACAGATGGAAAAGCAGAAACTCAGAGACGTTATGTGACTTCCCCAAAGCCACACAATTGGTCATTGGTGCTGGAATTTGAATCTGATCCCAAATCCCATACTCTTTCCCCTAAACCATCTTCGGCAGGCCCAGACGACCTCCTAGGTCACCGGCTTCAAGAGAGAACCCGCCCTTGAGTTGCGGGAGCACAAAGACGCTGGCCCCTAGGTGGCGCTTCGTTATTCACCTCTGCTTCCGGGTCAAGGCCGCGCGCTTCCAGGGCAGCCTGGCCAGCGTCGGAAGGGGGCAGGGGGAGGGTCTAGGGCTTGGCTATTCCTGCCCAGCATGAGCCGCCTCTGGGGGGCAGTCTTCACTCCGCATCTCCGTGCAGTCATGTAGACAAGCAGGTCTGAGGCTCACATGCCCCATCCTGCTCCTACCTTTTGTCTTTCACAAGCTTGACCCCCCAGTAAGCCTGTCCCACTGCCAGCTCCATCTGTGTGGGGGCCCTGGACGCCCCGTCCTAGTGTGTCCTACCCCAAGCCTGGTGCGGATGGGAGAGCCCCGAGAAAACCTGCCTGCTGGGGCACAGGGCCCAGTAGGGCAGTGCCGGGGCGAGGGGTGGGCCGTGGAGGGTCTTGAAAGATAGCAGTAAGGAACACTGAGCATTCACCAGGTGCCAGGCACTCTGTTAAATGCTTTCTTTTGACTTACGATTTCAATTAACCCTCACAAGAACTCTGAGAGGGAGCAATTGTTACTGTATTTTATAGACAAGGAACCCAGAGAGTTTCAACACCTGAACTGTCCAAGTAGAAGCCTGTTATGGGGCAGTCTGGCTCCAGAACCTGCGCTCTTAGCTGCGTCTCTCTAGCTGGGTGCCAGGAAGCTCTCTGGGCTTGCCCTGTTGGGCAGGAAGTGACAAGGCCTTTGTGCTCGCTGGGTTCTTGGAACGCCTGCCATCTCTGTCCTGCTCAGCGCGACTTGCCTCATGTTGGTGCCTGTCCTGTGGGCCTCAGCCAGGGGAAGGGGAAGCAGGAGCAAGGAGAACTACTTCAAGTGAACAGCAGTGTCTCACAGAGGTTAGGAGGTCATGCCGAACATTCTGCGGCGCCACCCCCACCCCAGTCTGCTCTCTGGCTGTTGAAGATGCGTCATGCTAATTTTACCCAGTTCCTCTTCGGCTCCACAATCAGCCGCCCATCAGCCACAGAACCAGTGTGCCCACACTGCGGCCACGTGCCGTGCCCACCCTCCTTCCGCCCGTGGTTCTGGAAGGGGAGTTTTCTCAGCTTAGCTTGGCCTGAGCTTATGAGAGGAGCTGCCTGAGCAGACGTGCAGGGGGCAGCAAGTCTCCTTTGTCTCTTAATCTTACTGGTGTCAGACAGACCTGGGTTCAAACCCCTCTCTGCTTCTTACCGGCTGTGGGTCCTCAGTCAAGTTCATTTTATTAGGTGGTTATTGCTATATAACAAACCACACCCCAAACTTAGTGGCTTTAACCCACAACCAACTGTGATTGCTCATGAGTTCGTGGGTTGGTTGGACAGTTAGCTCCTCAGATGTGGGGTAGGCTTGACCAGCCTTGACTGAACTCCCTACTAGGACTGTGGCCAGCTGGAGGCTGGCTGATGAAGGATGGCCTCACCTGGGGTAACAGGACCCTGCTCCACATGCTCACTTTTCCCCCAGTGTGCCGGGAATGCCCAGAGAGTGAACGAGCAACAAACCAAGCTTCTGATGATGAGCTGGGAAGTAGCATTGCGAAGGCCATGGACAGAAGGGTGATGACCTGGAGCCACATACCGCCTCACTTAACCTTGCTGTGATTCTTCTGGCTCATTTAGAAGATGGGAATAATATCACATATCATGTGATGCTCTAGTGTTCCCTGTCCTTTTAGGGGATGGTCACTCAGGGGCTGCCACAAGAGGGGTACAAGAGAGGAGCAGGAAAACAAAGTTTATTAAACTCACAGGTCCTAGAGAGACAGAGTCACTGCAGGCCAAGAGGGGGGACCACGTGGGAAGAGCGCCAGGGGCCAGGTTCAGCCACGAAGCTGGGGAGCTGAGAGACCTCGAGGAACCCGTGGGTAAAGGGCCTTTACCTGGGGGCTGGGTAGGTACACAGGCAAAGGGCACGAGGGGATTTCCTTGGTGCCCTTTGGTGTTTGACCAGCACTAGGTCACAGTCATGGGAGGTAGGAAGGGGACTGGGTGCTCCCAGCATGTTTGTGGGGATGTTGAGGCAGCAGGAAGAGATGAACTTTTAAAATTTACAATACACCTAGTACCTCACGGGCTCCATGAATTTGTTGAAAGCCAACCTTATAAAATATAAAAGGCCGAGGAGTAGATTCACCTTTGGAGAAAACCATTCCTTCGTTCCTGGGAAACTGTTTGAGTGGGGGGTCCTTAGTCACAATAATTAGAGTATGATGCACCAGGACCTGCCCTCCAGCTGCGGGAAGACTATGAAGCAATCCCAGTGCAGAAAAGCAGAGTGCTCTGCTTAGCATTCCTTCCTTCCTTCCTTCTTCCTTCCTTCTTCCTTCCTTCCTTCCTTCCTTCCTTCCTTCCTTCCTTCCTTCCTTCCTTCAGGGAATCAATCAGAAAACAGATAGCAAGAGCCTGTCATGTGATGTGTGGGAGATACTGGATGTAACATAGAGAGGAAACAAAGAATCAAGGTTATGGGAGGAAAGTGTGGGGTCGATTGTCAGGGGCATTTCCTTGCAAGCCAGGTGATGAGTGTAGCCCACTGCCTCGGGGAAGGAGGAGCCACTGAAGGTTTTAGGCAGGGATCAGTATGGTGGTTTCTTTGTCATTTCTAAAGATCTCCCAGGCGGCTGCCTGGAGAATGAAGAGGTGGTTGGTGTTGTGCAGTGCAGGGAAGAGACTAATTAGAAGATGTTCAGAGAGAGGGAGAGAGAGACAGAGAGAGAGAGAAAGAGCACGCACGTGAGATTGCACTCAGAAAGTATAGAACCCAGGGGAAGCCTGAAAAGGAAGGGGGGGAGCCAAGTTGTTCAGAACATGAGCTGCTCTACCTTCTTGGTTTAGTTCGGTCATTCATTAAATACATGTTTACTGAGCCCCTACATGGGTGACTAAAACAGACAACAGTCCTCTCATTTATGGAGCTCACATCCTAAGAAAACTAATTTTCATGCTTAAAGGCACAGTTCCAATTTACATGCAACATGGTGTCAACCACGTGCCCACCTCCCCATTTGCTGGCGAACAGCTCCAGTGAGGGAGCTTAAGGGGAAGGGAATGGCACTCCTCATTTTGACTACAGGCACTCTTCACTTTCCACATCGCATTTAGGTCCCCCTCGAGCACACCCTCCCCCTGGCTATAAGTTGAGACTTCACTGTCCCCCTGTGAGAACTCAGTGACATGTGTCCCTTGAGTGGGCTCATCAATAAGGGACGGGAGGTATGAACTAGTGATTTCAGCCACAGCCAAAGACATTACCAGGTCGTGCTTTGAGCTTTATTAGTGGCCCCAGCCCAGAGTGACCCCTCAGAGAGTGTTGGCCCTCCCCCACAGAGGAGTTGAGTGTCCATGTCTGCAGACACTTTGGGCACAGCATGGTGGAGGGGCTGTGGGGGGTCATCTGCATTCCACGCCAGCATCCTCATTGTGGTTGCAGTTGTGAGAGCCCCAGTTGCTTTTTTGGCAACTCCAGAGGCTCATCTCTGTCCCTCGACAGGAAACGTCATCCAGCCAGATTTCCCCACTGCCTGGATGTAGGGAAAGCGGGGAGATAGAGGAGAGCAGGATTAGGGCCAAACTTACATTTGGGGTAGACTACCAATTCCCCTCGCAGCCCTTGGGGCTCCCCTGCCATGACTCTGCCTCCCTCCTGCTTTCTGCCCTTTAACAAAAGTCTCATCCAAAGATTAGATGAGCTAGATTAAGATACAGATATATAATCTATTATTAATTATTAATACTTAATCTGTGCTCTGTTTGAGATTTCCTTCTGGGGGCCTCCCAGTGTTTGTCTCTTTCCTGCTTAGTCCCTGCTGTCGTACCCACCTTCCTCAAACGCCCTTTGAACCAGGTCGTTCCCTGGCTCAAAAGCATTCACACATTCTTCCAAATCTCCTCCTTCGGATATAATTGATTTCAGATCAACAGCACAGAGGAAAACAGCGGATGACTGACAGTCCTGACTTACGATGGTTTGATTTATGATTTTCCAACTTAATGATGGTGCAATCATGCTTGGGATTTTGAACTGTGGTCTTTTCCCAGGCTAGGGACATGTGGGACGATGCTCTCTTGTGATGCTGGGCAGCAGAAGCTCCTAGTCAGCCAGGTGATCACGAGAGCAAACAACTGATATACGATACGCGTACAACCGTTCTGTACCCAGACCACCATGCTGTTTGTCACTTTCAGTACAGTATTCAATCAATGACATGGGCTAGTCGACACTTTATTATAAGTAGCCTTTGTGTTAGATGATTTTTCCCAACTATGGCCTAGTGTAGGTGTTCTGAGCACCCTTAAGGCAGACGAGACTGAGCTGTGATGTTTGGTAGGTGACATGTATTAGATGCATTTTCGACACAATGTTTTCAAATTCCTATGGGCTTATTGAGATGTAACCCCATCATAAACCCAGGAAGATCTGTATTTGGTTACAGTAATTTACACTTTTACACACAGTTAACAGTGTAGCAATCTACCTAAGTGTAATCTATATGAAGAAAGTACATACTTTAAAGGAGTTTTATAATCCAACTGGAACTCATGTTAAAAAGCAAGAAGGCACTGTAGGGTGGAGGAAAGGCAGAGAGCGTTTGGGGGTGGGGGCAGGAGAAGATGGCCTAGTGTCCCTGCCAGGTCTGCTCTTGTGGCCAAAGAAACGGTCTCAGCCTGGGGACCTAACTACTTTATTGAAAGTTTGAAACTTTTGCTGAAAGAGATAGGCCGAGTCTCTAGCACCCCGGGATATCTTTCCGAAACTTATTTTAGGAAGTCCCTGCTCTGATTTGTTTTCTTTTCCCTTCGTACCTTCTCCTTGAGGATGATCACAGCATGGCCATTCCTGGCTTCTAGTTTCCAGATAGCTGAGATGAACACCTGTGTTTGCCTACCCTGCAACTTTTCTGTTCTTCCACGACCAGCAACCTCACTGTCCTTCAGAGAGCCACGGCTCACCAACACCCTTGGCCATGGAGGAATCTGGCTTCCCCGGCTGCACGGACAGTGGCCCAAGCCAGGTCAGCCAGAGCCTCAGCCAAGCCTTTGCTGTCCAGGTCCTCTTTGTCATGGGGTGGCCAGCCTGGAAGGCACTGAGCAGCAGCACTTTTCAGTTGCTTAAGCCGATCCTTTTCTTTAACCCAAACTCGCTGGGTCACTTGCAACCAAAGGGAAAACTTCCAGGAAAGAGGCTCCTGGCCGAGGACCCACTCACCAGGTGGTATTTTGGTAATGGCTATTCCACTGGAGTAGCCCAGCATGCGGCAGAAGACAGTGGCATCTGAATTTTCCCAGCCATCATCACAGATGGTCCCCCAGACACCATTGTAGTAAACTTCAGCCCGGCCTCGGTTCCTAGTGCCGATAATCCTGGCCAGGTGCACCGGATAACTGAGTCCAGATTCACCTGGGTGAAAGACATACGTGGGAGAGGTGGAGAGAACAGCCTCGGGCTTTGTGTGGATGCAGGCTCTGCCTTTTCATTGTTGGAAGTTCTGTTAATTCCGGGGCAGGGGGAGTCCCCCTGCTCTGCTGTCACCAGAGCCGGGGACGTCCCGCCATGTGGGCACTAACACAACCGGCCGAGCAGCCTCCATCCACCTGCGGTGGGTCCTGCCTATGCATCTTGCCTTGTCTTGTGGGGAGAAGAAAAGGAAAAGTTGAGGGGGAAGTGGCAGGAGGGAGAGAAGGGAGGGAGGGAGGAAAGGGGAGGAGGGGTGTGAGGGAGGGAAGGAGAGAGAAAGAGAAGGAAGTGGGGGAGGGGAGCTAAATAGTCCTGTTGTGGCTCTATGTCATCATGGGGAGGCTTAGTCAAAGGATGAGTCTGTTAGTTTTTCCGAAAATGAGGAATGTCTCTGAGAAAAGGGTCTCTCCTCTACCACACCTACACTTTTCAAGGACAGAGTTCTCTCTCGAAGGCACCCGTTAAAGAGAACAGAATTAATCATTACGTTTGACCGTTTTCTCCCTGTATTCCCTGCGCTCCAGAAGATCCTGCCGCAAGGGGCGGTGGGGGAAGAACACACACAATTTAAAGGAAACCAAGCCAGGACCCCTTCACCCTTCTTGGCTAGCAGCGGGGACGAGGGTGGGGATGGGGAGGGCAGGTTCTCTCCTCCAGCTTTGCCGCGACCTGGCGTCCAGGGGACTAGAGGTACCACGAGCACCACTGGTGGAGCAAGATGAGAGAGGCTCGCCCTACAGCAGGAAGGGTTGAAGTTAGCTTAGTGAGGAGCACTGAACAGGTGAGAGACAGATAGCAGGATGCATCTCCTTTGTGGAAGGCTCTGGGGGCCAGGGCATGGCCGGGCGTCGCGCAAGCACACGTTCGCGTGTCTGCCCCTCTGGGTGGCCAGGCTGTGCCTCACTCACTTCCATGGGCTCAGGGCTGAGGGCAAGCCCAGCACAGAACTTGTCCAGGGAGCCAATAAACCTCTACACCTCTGGTTCCGAAAACTCCCAAACCCCTTACAACAGGGCCTCTCCTCGGAACCCACAGATCACAGACTGAGGCCTTACCTTTTGCCCCTGGCTCTCCCTTTTGGCCTTTCAGTCCAGGTGGACCCTGGAGGCCTACCAGGCCCGGGTTTCCCATTTGTCCCTTCATGCCCGCAGGACCTGGAGACGAGAGAGACCACTTCCCTCAGATGTTCTGCTCTGTTTTCCAAGGGAGACCAAGGACCTTGGTCTTTAATGACTGGGTTGTCTTGATAAGTACGTTCCCCGCCCCCGTGCATGGGCTGTTTGGACGTTCAGCCTGGGCTTTTGGCCCACCTGGGAGAGGTGGTGAGGGTTGGGGGGGGCCGGGCATCGCTCTGATCTCCCCACTGACTCTCACATGAGTGCTGGTTGACAACACACAGGTCAAAGAGCTGACAGGATTCCAGAGGTTGTCGGTCCTCATCAGACCACCTCAGTGTGTGGAAGTTCTGGCCATTCTGGGAGAACTTGCTAGAACGTTTCTAGGCCTCCAAGACCTCCTTTAGTAAGTTCAAATAGGAACCAAATATCCAACTCAGGAGGAAGACAGACAGTTCAAGAAATGTGTCTGAGAAGTTTCGCGTTGGCATGCTTCAGGGCGGGGCCGTGGAGAAGACTAGAATTGCTCTGTGGGAAGCGCTGTGCTCAGGGACGGACCACAGGCAGGGGCTTGGAAAACTGAGGTGATCATAACAGGCCAGAGGCCAGCAGTAGGAGGAGGGTGGGAGGAGCTTCAGGGGACCAACGAAGATGGAGACGGACCGACACAGGCGTGGGGAAGCAGATAGAGGTCTTGCAGCCTGGGACCTGGAGAGGAAGACTGCGCAGCTCCACAGAGGCTGCATGGCCTGAAGCCACCAGCTGACCACCAGCTCTCCAGCCCCTTCTTCCCGCTTCCCCACCCTCAGCTCGGCCCCTCTCTCCCCTGCCTCAGGGCCCTGAGTTCTGTCCCTCTCCACGTTTTCCAGGGGGAAGAATCTGAGGCTTGAGGGACAGAGGACAGGAGTCCTAGCCTCAAACAGTCTTGGGCCCCGGCTGCTTTGGCGGAAGGTTACAGCAGCACGTTCAAAGTCAGCAAGACCTGCCCTCCAAGCGGGAGGCTTTCCAGACATTATTCTGAGAAATTAAAATGAAGCCAGCGCTGTACCTGGAGCTCCTGGTTCTCCTTTTGTTCCTTTCTGTCCTTGAAGTCCTAAGATCGAAATACAAAAGTGGGGGGGGATAATAAAACTTAGATATTAGACACTTTTAATCTTAGACAACCTCTACCTTTTGTCTGATTAATGCAGACGGAAAGATACATTGGTTCTCCACGATTGTTTAAAGCCTCCTTAGCAGAGCATAAAAGGAGACAGACCGCAGATAAATGGGGACACGTGTTGGGGTGAAGTAGAAAGGTAGTTGATGAAAGTCAGAGTGAGACAGACAGGTGGACTCTGGATTTACTGGCCGGCCTTCTTTGTCCAATGGTAGCCTGACTCGGTGTATAAATCCAATCGCATTCCTTCCTGCCTGCATTTTATTGGAAAAGAAGTGAGAGATATTTTGAAAATAAAGTCATCTTCATTTCTAGAAGACTGTGGAGGGGACACATTGGCCGCCAGTGGTATTGGGGGCCCTCACCCACAGCAGATGCTCCATAGCATTTGTGGTTCAATTTCAACTCAGATGTCAGACCCTGGCAGGCAGGCCCCAACCCACCGCAGGACATTTACACCTGCTCCGGTCCCTCTTTTTAGAATGCCTCACCCCTTCCATCCCCTGGAGAGCTCAAATCAAGCCTGTAAGACCTGCTAAGATGTCAGATGTCACCTGACTGTGAAGCCTTCTCTGGCCTCGCCCGTGGATGGCGTACTTCCCCCTGAGGCAGCAAAGTGGCCAGAGTTAGCCGGCCCGGGCTGGCATCTGCCTCTGTGACCTTGAGCAAGGTGCTGCCCTCTGGGAGCCTCACTTTCCTGCTCTGAGTCTCCTGGCTGCCTCAGGGGTGGTCGTGAGACTGAAATGAAGTCGCCTGTGTCATGGGCTGAGCCTCGTGTCTGGCCTGTGCTCAGTAAGTGCTGCCACAGGGACCCCACGGACCCTGTTTGCATGCGTCTGTCTCGCCTCTGGGGGGAGCACCACAGACCCTGGCCCAGACAAGCTCTGGGCTCACTACCCAACAAGCCCCCTAATTGTTCACCGGGGACCTGAGGTGACCCAGCTAAGGCAGCACAAATTTCCTCTGCTCATCGGCATCTGAACTGCATGTGTCAAGATCAGAGAGGAGAAGCCACACTCAGAAATCTGCCTTTGGCTGTTAGTAAACAGAAAAATAGTCCATACCTTGACCCTTGGCCCTCTGTCTATGGCCTAGAGAGTGCCATATTGCAGAAACCTCTACCTTGAGAGTCTGTCCCTGGAAGCAAGGTGCAGGGGTCCCAGGCCCCAAGACCTCCCTTTATTGTCCCCTCCCAAAGAAGTGCCCATCTCCAGCTGTCCCCAAAGCACCAAATGACAAGCACACCCTGTATAGACAGGAATCATAGGAACTCCCCTATTCCCTAGGTCCATGGTCCCCATGGTCTGACCCCCACCCCCAACTCATTTTCACAGTCTCCTTCCCAGCCCCTCCCCTCCCAGGGACTCAGCATCTGCTGAGCCAGGCCCGCGGCTAGGAGCTTTATACACATCCTCATTCCACCTTTCAAGGTAGTGCCATTTTCCTTTATACAGAAGAGGAGGAAGTCCACAGCCACAGATGCAAGGTGATTTATCCAAGGTCACACAGGGAGGGAGTGGTGAAGTTGGGTTGTAACCCACGTTTGGTCTCCCACTGGGCGCTGTAGCTCCCTGTGGCCCATTAGCACGGCAACTCACACCTTCCTGGAGTTTCCACTCAGGCTGTCCACCTGGTTCCAAAGACACTCCCAGCCTACCCTGGGCCATCCCTTTCCCCTAAATGAGTAGTCGAACTAGGCGTGCATCAGAATTGCCTGTACCGGGCTTGCGAAACAAACTGGCTTGTCAGGCTCCACCCCAGAGATGCTGAGTCAGTGGATCTGAGATGCTGCATTCGTAACACGTTCTCAGGTTGTGGTGATGCTGCTGGTCCGAGGACCACATTTTGAGTAGCACTGCCCTAAACAAACCTCACTGATACATTAAGGACCACTTCCCAGCTCACCTTTGAGCAGCCTTCCTTTCTCTGAGGCAAACAAATGCTGGTTTCTCCTTTAAACCACAGCTAACTGAGTTTTTCTGGGTATCACACACGTATCAAGCTGAGGGGACCCAAAATATTTATTTGCAAGGCATTTATTTAGAGAAATGATTTTCTCCTGAGAAAATCGTTTCATCAGAAAGCACACATCTCCTTATTGTTTAGTGTTCAGCTGGTGTTTTGCCTGAAATCTTAAAATGTTCCTGCTCTGAGGGGAAATTGCCAGTTTCAAACCCAGAGTGCTGTCAAGCTAGCAGGGACCTGGATATTATTCTAGACTATTCCTCACATTCCACAGAGGAGGAAACTCAGGCCCGGGGCAAGTTGGGGAGCAGATCTTCCAGCTCTGATTTAATGTAGAAATTTCCAGTACATTAGGAAACTCCTTAAGTAGCATCTTGACATACAGGCTAAGTGCAGCCTGACAGAGTGAGGATGAGTTTAAGAACTGACAGACCTGAGCTATGTAGCAGAAGTAAGGTGGCAGGTTGGGGACGAAAACTGGGATGCATGTAGACTTTTGCAGATATCTCTGAGAGGTTTAGAGGAAAGTGAAGACAGGTTTTATAAGCGACAACTTAGAAATGTGAGTTGGTAGAATGTAATAAATTCTGGGACTAACTCAGTACTTTGATATGGGGACTGGAAAGAACTGAGAAATTATATTCACAATATAGGGCTTAATTACTATTATGAATTACTCTTTGTTGCTTACCTTCACAATAAAATATCTTCAAATACAGATGAGAAAATGGATTTCAGGTTATTTGCATTTTAGCTTTGCCTCAAGAGGAAAATCAAAGGACATAGAAAATTCAGATTCTTGTTATATTTTTGACATGAAGGCTGCAGAGATGCAAAACTTCTGATCAGACTGGTGTTTCGGAGCTTAAATGTTTTGGCTGCTTTTAATGTCATTTCATGACATGGGATGGTCGAAAGCAAAATGCCAAGATGACAGGAGGAAGTGAGCCCTTCCTCATATCCCAACAAACTTTCAAATGGCTAAGGGATTTAGAGCTAAAATTAATTTTTGTGGGGTTTTTTTTGTACTTTGCAATCTTTTCCCCCAAATCAGATAATTTTGAAATCCTTTGAAAGATCAAAGTTTAGAAAAAATTAAGTTTTGGGGTGTGGTAAAATGCTGCTTTGTGAATGGTAAGGGAAATGACCTTTGGAGAAAGTTCTGCTGAGTGATAATGCCCTACGTGATATGTTGCGGTTTGTCTTCCTGACAGACCGAAAAACATTTCCTCTTCACCATCTTCAATCTGAGATGGCTGCTTTCTCTCAAGAGGTGTCAACACAGGGAAACATTCCACCTGAATGGGTTGGGGTATGGTAAGTGACCGTTTACAACAGGAGGATTTGGTGACTGAGCCAGGATTTACCCATCTACTGTGGAATGGAAGGTGCAGGCGATTCGAACTTCTCTAGAGTTCTACACTCTATGTTATTTTATGCAACACAATCTGGAAAAGCATGACTTTGGGATCTGACTTTGGGATTGAGATTCAGAGTACATTAACTGTGAGACCCCGAGGAGATTGTTCACCCTCGGGGAGTGTTTGCTCCCTCGGCTGTAAGGTAGGGGTGTTGAAACTCAGGGGTGCAGGCAGATGAGCTAAGATCATAGGAGTAAATCCCAAGCATAGTGCCTGGCCCAAAGGCATTGTTAATCATAAACAGACTTCTTTTTTTTTTTAATAATTAATGCACGATAATGGGATCTGGCTGTTAACCTAGGTCAAGCCAAGGCACTATAATTTCTCTGTTTTCATCCAGGGAAGCTAGATATTCTCGTGAGAGATTAACGATTTTATTTACAAAATAGGAAATTGGTTTGAAAAACTGGCTTGATATAATCAAAACTGGACAAACACCATACTACCTCTAGTTGGGGGAATACCAATGTCCTGACATGGAAAAGTGTGCATTATCTTCCATGATCACCACCCATCCTTCCTTTTCCCACTTGAGAAATCTAACCTCTCCAAGAGTTCCTTAACCTCTGACTTCGGGATGATATATAGACCTGCCTATGTGAGCCAGATTATGGACCTGTGGGACTTCCCTCTTGAGATGGGACCGTTAGCTACTAGATGGAGACGAACATTTGGATTTGTGTGGGAAACCTAGGCAATTTTACATAAGTTGTAATCATCACATGCTCCAAATTGAAAATGTAATCACCGTGTTTACTTGGGTAGGCGGAATTAAGGAATAACGCTTAGAATTTGCCTGGTTGGTATTTACCACTAGGCCTGATTGATGGAGATCCCCAAAAAGGTGCTCAACAAATGTACGGGAACTTGATAATGGGGTTAAAACCATCCCCAGGCGGTGGGCCAAAGTTCTCTGTGCTATAAGGAAGGTGGGCCGTAACAGGGCCTGAACACGTCATGTTTCCTTCTCGGAATGGAAGAACCTGCTGTAGCCTCAGCTCTAATCCTTCCAGACCTGGGATGGAGAGAGAAGGTGTTGCTCATCAGAATGCCTGATGGGATAGGGGGTACTTTCAGGCTGCCTGGGGCGGGGGAAGACAGCATGACAGAGTGTAATGGATAAGGCCCCAAGCTTTGGGTCGGCCCTGGTAGGATTCCAGTTCTGGCTGTGCCTCCTCCTGGCTCCTGAAGTGTGGGCAAGTCACTGTGAAATAGCACTAACGAGAGTGCTTATCCCACCGGGTTGTCATGGAGATGCTCATTATCAGGAGCGGCTCTTCTTCTGCAAGCCCTCCCAGGATATGGAGTGCAAGGCAAAATCTCCTACCTTCAGACAGTGGGAGACACAGGCTGGGGGCCTGGGGAGGGGGCACAGTGTCCCTTGTGGGTAAAATCATGTTTTACCCCTGTTACCCTTGCTTAGTTAAGAACCATTAGTCTGGCGATGTGGGGATGGGGGGTGGGGAGAGAGACTCATTGTTTATAACTGAGGGATGAAAGCAGTCATCACTATGAAGCCAAGCAGAAAACTCAGGGGTAGGGCAGCCTCAGGCCCTAAAGTCAGGCCCCCTAAGCTCTGGGACCAAGGAAGGTGAAAATATTTAAGATCAGGAGGAGGCAGCCAACAAGGCAGGGACATCCGACCACCACATCCAGAACGTGACACCTTGCTGGGTGCCTTCCGGTGGTATCTACATGACATCAGGTAGCAGGTCCCCAGCCCACGCTGACACACAGTCGGTGAAAAAGAAATCAGCTCCGAGGCTGGATGGGCTAGAAGGACAACGGGTATTAAAGCAGCCTGTGCCATAGCTCTCGATAATCTTCAGGAAACCCCAGTGGTTGAAGGCCCAGAGACCAGGGCCAGCCAGGAGGTGGCCCCCACCCACCCCTCTGGCCAGAGCTCCTGACCCTCTTTCACATCCCAACCCCAGACGCCAGGGACAGCAGCCTTCAGAGCCCTCCCTCATTCCTCCATGACTTTGCCTGCTCTGTTCCCTCTCTCTAGATTTCTTTTCCCCTCCTCCCCATGGCCAGGCTCCACTCATTCCACAAGACTCAGCTCAAGCTCTTACCATCACTTCTACACCGCTCTGCCTTTTGCCACCCCTACCAGACAGGGGACACTGTGAAACTGAAGCATTTAGCTGAGTTAAGTCACATTTGTTTAAAGAATCAATCTGTCCATCAGTCAACTGCTTGATCGATGAGCCCTGAGAGGACCTGGCCCTGGTGTGCGTCTGCACACAGCTCTGCGTGAGGCCATCAGGCTGTCTAACACAGCATGACCTTCAGCTCTGGCAGACGAGGGGCTGCGCCAGACTGTCCACGCCATCCTAGGCAGCTGCATAGCCCGCTCTCTCGACCTTGCCCTGTTACAACACACACCTCTGGGCTGCACTTGGCTTTCTAAAGGGCATTTGGCACTTCTCCATGCAAAAGCCACAACAGAGTGTTCCTGGCACAGTCTGGCAACAGTCTGTCTACCTGTCTCCTGCACCGACCTGTAGGTGTGAGGGTAGGGAGCAGGTGTTCTGCATCACGGTGCCCCAGCACCCAACACAGTGGTCCAGACTTTCTAAACCATTGCTCAGACTTACTTAGTGACTAGACAAAATTGGCATAGAGGTTTATAAAGTAGACCACATTGGTTTATAACCTAGACTAAGTTGGCACAATGGTTTATAACGTAGACCAAGTTGACATGAAGGTTTATACAGTAGTCACTGTGAGTTTGGTTACTGTGGGTCACTCCTCCCAGCCTGAGCCCCTTTGGAAGAATGTATAAGAGACGGTTTCTTAACCCCCCCTCCCCGCCCAAATCCAGAGCCCTGACCCTTGGGACCCCATTGCAGGTTAACTGGAGAGAATGCACACGGCTAGAAGGCAGGCCAGGAGACAATGTGGGTCAGCTGCCCTTCCCTTCTCTTTAATGGTGGAGGTTTGGTCATGGCATAGGGGCCTTTCAAGGACCCTGGGCAGAGAGAGGACAGCCCTAGGGCTTTGAGCTCAAAGGGTCCTGGCAAAGGAAAGTGTCTTCCTTAATCCAGGGGTTTCTGGGGCCAGAGCACAGGAGACCCTCTGCCTCCTTCTGGTGGGAGCACTGGGAGGCAGTCCTCCTCCCTGTCCATCCCTGACACCCAGCATCCCACCCACCCCCTACCCACATCCTCTGTTACCTGGGTCCCCCTTGCTTCCTTTCACGCCGTTGGCTCCAGGACTCCCGGGTCTCCCTGCTGGTCCTATACAACAGATGCCCAGATGGCATGAGGGCTGGGCTCTGTGGATCTTCAGACATCACTCCCCACACCCACCGCAGGACCGAGGACCTCACCTGCTAGTCCCGGGGAGCCAGCACTGCCAGGCTCCCCCTTGGCCCCAGCGGATCCCGCCGTGCCCGGAGAGCCAGGAAGACCCTTCGCTCCAGGTTGTCCTACAAGTGACAACTGCAAGGTTGGCTTCGGTCGCCAGAGAGCCTGGCTGCCCCCCGCCCCAACACACCTCTCTTCTCAGCAGTGACATGTGTACCTCCTACCACCTTATATGTTCCCTGGGCAGCTTTAATCATCTCCCTCTAGAAGCCGCGAACGAGCCCAACCAGCAGGAGAAAGGTTACAGCCTGAGCAATTTGTTCATCTCGGCCATCGCTCTGCAGTGTCTGGGGCTTAGGGACCCACCAGGCACCCTGGGTTGTGAACATGTGCTCCACACCCCTGGGGGGCAGAGTGCGGCGAAGCTCTAAGATGGAATGCCAATCGAGCCCCTTCCTCTCGGGCACAGCCGGGTTTTAAGAGACCCCCATGGGCTCTGGGGTAACACTGCAGTGAAATAAAAGACATGCCCTGGACTTGATTTTGTCCAGGGACAGTGGCAGCTCGAATGATACCTGGATTCCCAGAGTTCTTACCTTGATCTCCTTTCATTCCAGGAGATCCAGCCACACCTGAAATGAAGAAGGACTTTTAGGGACTTTGTTCTCTTATAGCTCAGTCTGCCAGGGGGGATAGGGAATACTTACAGACCAATGGACAGCCTCTTACCTGGGGGGCCTGGCTTCCCTGAGTCACCTTTACTGCCCTGGGCTCCGGGGGGGCCCATGACCCCTGTGTCACCTTTCATGCCCATGTCCCCTTTGCTTCCTGAAAAATCAAGGAGTCGTGGTCAGGCACAGGAGAAGGGCAAACCCAGCTGCCAGATCCCATTGACACTTGTCTCACCCAAATTCCAAACTCAAACTCCTTGAGCTCCTCCGACCTGGAGCCCAGAAGTGGAAGATCCAATAGCTGCCCTCAAGGAGCATACCACCTTGCCCCAGAGACAAGACGTGAACTTGTGAAAAATGGTCAAGGTCACCTGGCTTGGCTGACGGGCAGGCCCAGGAAGCCAGGCTCTCAGGACCCTGGTCAGCACGCCGGACCCCTTGGGAGGGACCACAGCCCAGGCTTAGCCAGCACTGCCTGGCTCATTTTCGTGTCTGTGTTTGGGGAATTGTTCTTCAAGCCTCCCAAACCGAAATCTGAATATTCCAGAAAGTCGATCCCAGATGCTGAGAATAGAGACTCGAAGGTATAGGTGGGGAGAGGAACATTGCCGCAGCTCCGATTCCTGCCAGTGCTTCAGCCACAGCCTCTCCTGGTGCCCGAGGTTTCAAATTTTCCACTTGTCATCTGCATTCGAGGCTCGTCCCAGCCTGTCCTCACCTCGGTCCTCCACTGCTCCCTCCTCCTTTCTGCCACTGCTTGGCGCATATCAATCGAGGGAGGCTCCTGAGAGCAGGGGGCTGGCAACCCCTTCCCAATCCATGGGTTTGGTTTCGGACCCAGCTGCATGCCCCTGCTGGCCCTGCCAGTCGAAGCCCCACCCCGAGCAGCCCCCTCTGCCCTGGGACAGGCTTAGTGTGATGGAATTCGGTTAAAAGGCTCCATTCCATTATTTTCTTGATAGAGAAGGGGAGGACTCAAGAGGGATATCAGCCTTCTCTCCAGTGAATCAAGAAAGGAGACAGAAGGGTCTGAAGCAGAGGGAAAGAATCACCGGTCATGCAGAGCTTTCCTGGTCTATGCTGGGGTGATGTTAGGGGCAAGGCTTAGGAAATAGATTCTTCCGGGTTTAGATACTTGAAGGATGATTATTCCTTGATGGGAAACAAAATAACCAGAGAGAACTTGGTTACAGTTGAGATCTCTTATAGTCTCAGGGACAAGCCCCATTGAAGGCAGTTCTTGGTCATTGAGTGTGTCGGTTTTGGCAGAAGGGACAAATGGCATTTGTTAGAAGGGACTAGGAATTACTTCCCTGGAGGAATTGGTTGGTGGGCCCAATTGGTGGGCCCAATTGCTCCCGGCCGACCGGAACCATCACGTTACAGGAATTGCTTGGCTGTAGGAGGATTCTGGAGCATGGTCCATGGGAAGCTGGGCGTTCTGGGTGAAACGACCCGGGTCTGGCACTCACCCACGGAGGAACCCCAGCTGCACCTGATGTCCGAACCTTCCCATCACCTCTAAAGGCGAAGTCAGGCAAACAGACGTGTCCCCTGGATCTGCACCAGGGTCATTACCCGTCCGCTGGGACAAAAAGCACCAAACCTCGGTACCACCAGAGCGGAGTGAAAGAGATCTTGTGATCTTGGGAAGAAGAGGGGGGGCCACAGCGTTTCCAGGCCTGAGTCTGCCTCCGAGTGTGCGCGCCATGCCCTGGTGCAGACTCACCGTGCGTCTGTGGCGGTGGGTGAGTGTGGGATGGGAAACAGGAGGGCGCAGACTCCGCGGGCAAAGTGCCGGCTGTCATTCCCCCCCTTCCCCGGGGCTGGCAGGGCCACCTTGAGAAAGTCTAGGGCCCCCTTTCCTGTTGCAGAGAGAACTGCGGAGGGCCGCCTTTGGAAGCACCCTCAGAGGTCAACTGTCTAACCATCTGCTTGGTGCAAAGGTTTTGCTCAGTCCCGCCAAGAATTCTGCAGCCCCTCCCCTGCCCCCCCCCCCGCGGCAGCCGCCCCTGAGCCCCGCGCATGCCTGCCCGGTTCATCGCTGGGCAGCCCTAAGTCTTAACGCCTTCCTCCTCCCTTACCTCGGCACAATTGGCTCTCCTGAAACCCTTGATCATCACTCCTCGTTCTATTGCTGGGCACCCAGAGTGAGTCTGTTTTCTCTTCCACAAGTGCCTTTCTAATGTTTGAGCAAGGCTGACACGTCCTTGTAAGTGCTCTCTTCCTGAGGACGAGCACCCGAGTCTCTTACAATGTAAATATTCCCATTTGCAGGTACAGCGCCACACACCTTATGTCTTATATTCCTGTTGTAACTGATCCCTATTAGAGGTTGCTCTTATTATGCCCCTTTTATAGGTGAGTAAATTGAGGGTCGGAGAGGTCGAGTCATTTGCCTCAGGTAGCACAGCTAGTGAGCCGTATTAGGACCCAGATGTGTCTGATCTTAGAACTGAAGTCCTTCCCTTTCTACCTGAAAGGATCACTAATACTGGGGCGCCTGGGGGGTGCATGTGGTTGAGCGTCCAACTCTTGGTTTCAGCTCAGGTCTGGATCTCAGGGTTATGGGATCCAGCATCTGGCTCCGTGCTCAGCGGGGTGTCTGTTTGAGAGTCTCTCTCACTCCCGCCCCCACCCATGTGCATGAGTGGTCTCTCTCTCTCTCTCAAATAAATAAACCTTCAAACAAAACAAAACAAGCCCACCAGCTGCACAAGCCTCATTCTCCCTACTGTGCCCCAGAAACCCCCAAGAGGGCCTCAAGAGGCCAAGGACAAGGGGCATGAAGGTGCTCAGTCATGGCCAGAGCCCCCGGGGCTGTGCTTCTCAGAGCGTCTAGACTGTCAGCATCAGAATCATCCAGGCCTTTGAAACACAGACTCTTGGACTTTGAATAAATGCCCCAAATAGTTCTGAGGTAGCACCTGCTTCTGGAATGAACCCCTTTTCCTTCCCTGCCAGCCAGTCTCCCCTCCTCCCCTGTGCCCACCTCAGGACCCACCGCTGTCCCTTGCCTTCCTCTCCTCCGAGCTCCTAGCATGGCCTGTGTCCCCACTTGTCACAGGTCATGCCTGGCATGAGATTTTGCGCCCCCCCCCACACACACTGCTCTCAGCTTTCATGTTCCTGGTTTCTACTCACCTGGACAGAAAGGACCTCATGTGTGTTCCCGGGAGGCTGGTAGGCAGAGCCCAGCTTTGTCCGCTTTGTCCTCCGTGGGACAGAACAGACACGCTTCCACAGGGACAGGACCCAGCCCGCGGGCCCCCCCACAAGCACCGACAACCCCACAGGGCGCTTACCTGGGAGACCCAGGTCTCCTTTGTCGCCCTTAGCTCCAGGTTCCCCCTTCAGGCCAATGAGACCCCCATCGCCTTTGCTCCCCTTCTCTCCCTGCTGTCCTGGGGTGCCTGGGTAGAGAATGGCCAACGAGGTGGGCTCCTGCCATCCTCCTGGGATGGGCTCCTAGGCAACGGGGCAGGGGGCATTCGGGGAGAAGAGAAAGGGGCCTCCAGAGGAAGTCTGGGGAAGGTGAGGTCATCTAGGGGTGTCTCGATGAGGCAGAGTAAGACTCCAGGGCAGAGGACTGGGGGAGGGCCCCGACCCTCTGGGGCTGTGGGTGGGGCTGTGGGGAGGGGGTAGCGGGGCGACTGGCTCAGCACCTCGGCCAAGGCACCTCTGAGCCCAGGCAGAGGAGGCACATGTTACCAGGGGCTCCCTGTTTCCCTGGAGCACCGTTGGGTCCTTGGAGTCCTGCGAGGAAGGAAAGAACTAGTCTCAGCTCCTCAGTCAGCGGATGTTCTAGAGCCCCACAGAAGGACCAGATGCCCAGCATGAGGGGAGGGGCCTCTCTCTGTGTCATCCCTCCCCGCCACACACACACTAACAGTGACAACATTTCACTCTGCAGAACAAGAAGAAGAGAGAGAGAGAGAAAGGAAAGACAAGGCGAGTCCCTTAGGCATAGGGGTATAAAACTGCTGAGGCCCCTGCTTCTGGACCCTCTCCCTGTGCACACACCCGGCCCCTACCCACCTGCGTCTCCCTTGATTCCAGGCGGGCCCTGGAGTCCTGGGGGGCCTGGAAAGGAAAAAGGATTCAGAATGAAGGCTGGACAAGGACGGCAAAAAGAATTACGGGGCTGGTAGACAGGGGCCAGTGTTCATGGCTCCATGGCACGCCTCGGCCCCCTCGGCCCACTTCTCAGCCGGTGGCCTTGGCAGACCTGGGATGCAATGCCCGGCCTGCCCTGGGCCCCCTTTGACCTGGAAGACCTAAAGCTGAGGAACAGAGACACCCAGGAGCCAACCCTGGGTGTGGGGTGGGGTGACAAGGTGGGGTGACAAGGCCGCTTATCACACTGTTATTTATTCAACACACTGCCACTGAGCCCCAAGAATGAGCCAAACTGTGTGGAAGGAAGGAAAGAAAGCGAAGGCAGAGCTCCTCCCTCCAAGAAGCTCACGGCCTAACAGGTGAACCTCAGTGGTGCAGGTGACATGTTCTGAGCGAGGCGCGTCAAACGGACCCAGGTTCAAGGAGCAGCACCACCCCTTCAGCTGGGTGACCTGGTGCAAGTTACTTCTTCCTTTTGAGCTTCAGTTTCCTCATCAGTAAAACGGACTTAATGTACCAGCTCCACAGGATGGTCCTGGCAGCCAGCTCTGGACACGTGGCACCTATTTTTGCTGTCACTCACATATAGTTCTGTCCCTTCCCACGGGCTGCTGTGCAGATTCAAGACTCCCAACAACCCAGGAGGGCAGGCCGGGGCTCCTTGTCCTGTTCTAGTCCACGCAGCTGCTGTAACAGAACACTGCAGAGCAGGTGGCTTATAAACAACAGAAATGCATTTCTCACAGTTCTGGAGTCTGCAAGTCCAAGATTCGACTGCTAGCGTGGTCAGGTTCTTCTGACTTCTTGCCATGTCCTCACTCGGTGGAAGGGGGGGTGAGGGAGCTCATTGGAGTCTCTTTTATAAGGGCACTAATCCGATTCAAGAGGGCCCTGCTCTCATGGCCAAATCACCTACCAAAGACCCCACCTCTTAACACAGTCCCCTTGGGGGTTAGGTTTTCAACGCAGGAATTTGAAGAGGTGTAAGCCCTGACTCCTTAGAGTCAGCGTCTCCTTAGAGGGGAGGAGTCAACATCCATCTGGCTGGAGGTGCCCAAGCATTAGCTCCTTCAATCTTCCCGACAAAATAACAAAGCAAATAACAACACCGACACGACTGAATACATATTCTGAGCCGGGCACTGGACTACGCATTTTTACATTCATTGTTTTAACCCAATCCCACCCAGGAGGTCCTATCCTTATCCCCATCTCATAGGGGAGGACACTGAGCTCAGAAGTGTTAAGTGACTTGCTCAAAGCCACCTGGCTCCAGAGAGAGCCAGGGTCTGTCCCTAGGAGTGCCAGGGATGCAAATGGATTCTCATGTCACCATGCAAGGCTGCCTTGAAACTCTCGCTGACCAGCAGTGTGGTCTGGGCCAAACTTAAAAAATTATGAGGCCAAAGAGTTCTGTCCCAAGAACGCCGTGTAGAATGATTTTCAAGGTGGCATTCCAACGGCTCCGGTGATAGAATGGAGTAGGGGTGGGGTGAAGTGTGTGTACGTACATGTGTGCACATGTGTGCAGCTAATGCTGCGTGTGTTCAGGTAGAAAGAAAAAGCAATGAAGGCACAGGTGTTTTCCTCAGAAAGCACTTGCTGTTGTCGGAGGTTTTTTTGCACATCGCTTCACTTGCCTCTTATAGCAACCCCGGGAGGTGAGCAAAATGATCTCCGTTAGTTTTTACACAGCTGAGTGGCTGAGCTTCCGGAAAAGTGACGTCACTGGCCCAAAGTCACACAACCAGGAAGTGGCAGAGCTAGGATTAGAACTCAGGTCCCAGAGGCTGCCCCTCCTGTTATGTGCTCTAGGAGACGTGAGCCGTGCACCCGTGGAAACGGTCGTAGTCAGATGCGGGGACGAGCTCCGTGTTGGGTAAGGGGCATCTGGAAACAGTGCTTATGGGAGACAGAGGGGGAGTCCTGCACTTGCAGCTGGGGTCCCGGGGGAGAGGGCACCTGAGAGGGATGCACTTGGGCTGGCCGTGGAAGGCGGCTTAGATTTGGCAGGGTGGGGTGGCTGAAGAAGCCATTTCCCACTTCAGGCGAGGTCAGGGAACAGAGAGCCGACCCAACGGAGGACCAGTGAATTTGTGGGGAGCTGTGGGGGCCCATGGAAGGTAAGTTGGGGTCGGGGCCCAGAAAGTCATCAGCCCAGGAGCCTGTGGGGAAAGGCTGTGGCGAGCAGGAGGCATGGGCCAGAGGGGAAATAAACGTACCTGGAGCGCCTCGCTCCCCTTTGACCCGGAACAGCTCTGCAAGGGGAGGAGAGAGGGTTGTAGGCTGGGCTGTGAGGGCATGCGCCCAGGGCACCCAGCTCTAAGTCGGGAGCCTCTGCCCTCCAGGCTGAGGAGCAAGGGCTTCAGGCAGATGGGGGATTTGGACAACAGGAGCCAAACACCTGGGTGTTTTCCAGGAATGAGCTTTTAGAAAAAGCCAGATATTTTTTGCAGCTAAAGGTCTGCACCAGGGAGCTGTAGATCCCTGGGAGCTGCAGAAGTGGGGAAAGAAGGTTGAGACCCCTGGAGTCTACCCTATATTGTCAGAAGACTTGGGAGCCAAACCTGTTCAGAGAGAGCCTCAGGTTAATGGCAAGGCCCCTCATACTGATCACAACCAGCTCCGCCATATCTTAAGGAAGGGAGTGATGGTCCTTGTGTCTGAGCATCTGAACATCTGAGCCTGGACTCTGCCCATCTGTCACAGCTGTCTCCTGTCCCCGCATCCTGGCTCAGCCTTCATCTGTGCTCACTGGGAAGACCGCAGCCTCTGGGGGATTCTTCCACCTGGACCCTGTGCCCATTCAGCAAATGCTCTCATGGGCACAGAACGGCGGTCATGGAATCACCCCTTAAGCCCCAGCTTGCCCCAGACATAGGGCTGGAGCTCCATGCAATAGTGAGGACACACCTAGAAGCTGCTTTTGCCCAAATCAGCCCTCCTGTTCCGGCATAGCCTGAGAGAGTGGTGGGTGTCGTGGTAGGAATGCCTCACGTGGCCCTCACGTGGCCCAGTCTCAGGCCCCAAGAAAACCGAGGGGAGGGGGATCCCTGGCAGATCCACCCTATCTTCCAAGCCGTCACACTGCCCCAGCAAGCCCACTGCCCTGTCCCTCCGAGGTCCCCACATGGCTCGGACCTCCTGGTACCTGCCGTTAGTCTCTCTCCAGCCATGGGCCAGTATTAGTTGGCTACATGGGAGTGGTCCTAGGACTTGCTCCAAGCTCTGTTTTACCCATCCTCCCAAACATTCTAGAGCCATCTCATGCCTACTTCATATGGCTCTCACCCCTTTCCTTGGGCCCCAAGGTTCTGGAATGTTCTCCTCACCAGGAAAGGGGTTTTGGATTACAGCCCAAGGATCCCTTTTCCCATGAACCAGCAGCCCCTCCTTTCCATCCCCTGAAGAGTCCCGGTACGGAGGGGAGAGGGCCAAACCTGGGCTCCGAGTGAAGTTGTCCACCTTCCGTAACAGGTGCTCCTGCCTGGTGCGAACCTGGGTGATCTGGGCCTGCAGGACCTGCAGCCCCAATGTGCCCCCAGGGAGGTGTGGGATGGGCATTGACTGGAGCAAAGAGAAGGACAGGCCATCCTCGGCGGCCAGTGTTCCATTGGTGAAGTGAGTCTCTAGGGCCCAGAGCCGCTCCTGCAGATTCAGAACTGGACACCCCACCCCCACCCCACAGCCTTCTTTTAGGGACCTCATTAAAATCCCAGGCATTTGAGCACATCCCTGAGGTTCTTGTGTCATATGCGCATAACTTCTGTGGGTCCTGGATACTGAAGACACATTTCATGTGCCATGAGGACCTAGTGTGAGCACAGAGCTCTTTCTGTATCCTGCACACAGGCACTCCACACTTAGGCATGAGGTTACATGTTCATAGAATATTCTCACATGGTCTAGGGATGCACTCACAGCATCATGATCAAACTTCAGCCTTCCTGCATGCTCTGGGCATGAACATATGATGACCAATATGTTGGTCTGTTGTAATCACATGTGGCCTGAATATACATGTGACATATGTTTATGACAGCTGGGCACACAATGTTCTTGGGTGAGTTCAGTGTCTGCAGATGGAATTGCTTCATGACCTTAACATTTGGACCAGGAACACTTTGTAAGTAAAATCATGTTAACATGAACTCTCTGATCAATAAAGCCCCTTCCTGCTCAGACATTGGGGAGACTTGGTGGAAGACGCACACAGCAGACCCATGTGAAATTATCACATTGTTCACCGCTCTCATGCACACAGGCTCGAATGTGCTTTCTCTCTCTATCGCTCTCTCAATCTGTCTCTATGTCTCTCTCTCTGTGTGTCACACACACAGACACACACACACACACACACACACACACACACACTCCCCTGATCACTTCCCCCCCACCGAGCCCCATCAACGTGGCTACCTGGCTACCCAGGGACTAAGAACACCTTCTCAGCAGGTGGGCAGCAGTGACCCCAGGGCTTTCCACTCAACCTGAACCCTGTGTCACCCCAGGAGGCACCAGACGGGACCAGACCTCTTTACCTTTCACCACCAGCAACCCAGCACCTGCGGTGAGCAGAATCAGGTAGATGGCCACCATGACCATGAAGCAGTTCACCCCCTTTCTCTTCTTGGGCTTTGGATCTGAAACACAACCTCGGTGTGAGGTGGCTGCTGTAGGAGGCAGAGACCAGGGGGCCGCAACCTGTGTCAGAATCCCCGCTCTGTTTGAGCAGACGGCTCCCCCAAGAAGGCCGAGGGCAAAGACACAAAGTCCCGCTACCCCCAAATCCTCCCCCGATCCCCCTTGTGCCACAAGCCAAGAAGTGCCATTGTCGGTCACTCATTGGTGTGGCTGGGCAAACTCCGGGGCCCCACATCATCAGGTGGCAGAGTGCAGTCCTTAAACCAGGTGCAGCCCGAAGTCCCAGCACAGTGCCTGGTGATAGAGGGCTCTCAAGAGATGTTTATCAAGTGAATTAATGAATTAACGTACTTAAGTTTCAAAACTTTGGGAGGAGCATGATTGTTGCTACTTTATCAACTCTGAGTGAGGTTTGGAGAAGTTGAAATACCTATTAGGTGATGAGACGCAGATTTGGAACTCAGATTCGGGCTTTTGTTTTCTTTTTTCTTTAGATTATTTAATTACACAAATAAACATGCTTAATATAATTTATCAAACAACATAGAGAGCATTACAGGGGTTAATAATCTTGTAATCAGGGACTTCAGGAGACCTCAATTCCCTGGCGTCCTAACCTGCTGACATAAGCTTTGCGGGCATTCTGGGGTGTGGCCTTCCTCCTAGCCTGCTTGCTCATGGAAACTGCTAAACCCAGACACTGCTAGACAGACATGGCTTTTTTTCTTTTGATTTTACGCAAATGATATACTACATATAATATAGCACATTGCTTTCTGCAATGAATGATTTCCCATGGACATTCCTCTAGTTTTTTGTTTGTTTGTTGTTTTGTTTGGTAGAGAAAGATTTAACTCCTTGTTTTTTAAGATTTTATTTATTTATTTTATAGGGAGAGAGAGGGAGAGCACAAGCAGGGGGAGTGGCAGGGAGAGGGAGAAGCAGGCTCCCACTGAGCAGAGAGCCCGACATGGGGCTCGATCCCAGGACCCCGAGATCATAACCTGAGCTGAAGGCAGACACTTAACTGACTAAGCCACCCAGGTGCCTCTTCACTCTTCTTTTAACAGCTGCCTAATATCCCTTAAAGACAAGAACTGCAATTCATGCGGACATTTCCCTGTTGGCAAGCTGTTTCCAGTGCGGGGCATTACAAAAGAGGCCACATTGGTTCCAACACCAGTCTTCCCCCAAGCCAGCTGTCTCCCCAGTTTGGGGCGTCCAAAGGCAAGGAGCCAGCCTGCAGAAGGCCCTGTGCTTCCCACCACTCATACTGACAGAGCACCTACTCTGTGCCGGGCATTGTCTGATATCATCTATAATGCTTCTGGCAATCCTGCAAGGTAGGTGTGATCATCCTCTTATACAGACTTGGGGTTCAGAGAAGTTAGGGCAACACAACAGGCACATGCCCCTGGGTCCATCTAACCCCAAGGCCTGAGCTTGCCTCATTAGCCTACACAGACAGTTGCCCTTGGAAAAATGCAGCTGAAATGCACCCCAAGGGCAGATGTGAAGGGCAAAGGGATCATAGGTGGGCATCCCAGGGGAAGGAGTGGGGGCTCGTGAACACATTTTTTTTTTTTTTGCTTTGTGGTAGGTGATGGTGGGTTTTCAGTTGACTCATCATAGATGTGTATGAACCTTGAGTCTGTTTTCTATCACTTGTGGAACCTTCACTATTCTGCTGATACTGCTTCCAGCCACCTGCAGAACAGAAATCCCTGCTTTAGCATCGTCTAAAGCATGGTGGTCTCAAGACGGCTTCAGCAGCAGCAAGAGGAATGATTTCTTGGTTGGGTGGTATTTTAGTTAGTGGCACTTGGGTATGCTTTTTCTAGCACAGTCTCCCCTGCATTGCGCCTCCCAAATTGGGGCCCCACACAGTAGCCCGAGTGAACTCTCTAACACACAACCTGGCCAAGTCACTTCCTTGCCTTCAGTGCTCCAGTGGCTGTTCACGGTCCTTGGGACAAACAGGAAGACCTGCTGCCCACCGGTTCTCCTGTGGCTGTATCTTCACACCACACCCCACGTGGACCCTGAGCCACAGGCAGGCCAGACCACATGTCATTACACCCCTCTCACTCCAGGTCATGTATTTCTCTGAAAATACAACCCTGCTTCCCCCCGCCCTACACAACTAATTCCTCCTCATCCTTTGGGAGCACAGTGGAGCTTCTCCTGCTCCAAGATACATTTTCTGACTCCCCTGGCTTAGGTGGAACCCTGCTCTGCTTCCCCACATCGCTCTGTGTTTCCACCTGATATGGCATCCATCATCCTGAACTGTGTCTGTTTATGTCTCAGTTCCCCCCCCCCGCCATGTTCTGGAAGCTTCTAGGGGTGCTGTCCAGCACCAACACGGTATTAACCACACAACATGAGCCAGAAAGATGATGAATGAATGGATGGATGAGTAGCCACAGAGGTCTGGGTCCTGAACACGTGCAGAGTAACAGTGTCAGTTTAGAAGTGTTGGAAAAGCATCGGGAATGCAACTTCAGACCTCAGGCAAGCTTTATACGATAATGGCAAGGATGGGTAACGTACAAGGGAAGCCTCATATTTAACAGAAGATGGTGGACGATGAATACGATCTCATAGCACTAAACTTAAGGAAATTATGGGAATAGAAAGATAGTGTGTTCAGAGGCACAGATGTTATAGGGCCAGTATGGAAAATACAGATATTTTCAAACTGGATGATAGGAAAATGGAAGGCATTTGAGTGAAGATAGTGAGAGGAAAAACAAACATTGTAGTATGGATGGGAATAGTTTGGGCGTATCCACTCAGGCCCAGAATGCTCTTTTAAGTAGAGCTCTCATGTAACATAGAGGCAAAGTAGAAACTGGGAACTGAATCTGTGGGCATTTAACTAACTTGCTTACAAAGCAGAAAGTCTGAAATTCTTTACCCTCTATGCTGATTTCTAAGAGGGTAGAAAAACTGCAAAGGAACATCAACTCCAATGTGGATTTCACCAATGAGGAAGAGTTTCTGAGATGAGAGAATGAATGACGCTTCCAGTAAACTAGAATGAGCATCCCTGGAGTAAATTTTGGTGAGTCCAGGTGAAGATTTTAGGAAAGCCGTTTTCAGAAATATGACAGCTCTATTGTCTGACTTACAGTGAAAATGTGGCTCCAGAGGGAAATAAAATTTCAATTCCATAAAAGATCTCAGTGAAGAAAAACAGTCTGTATACAAATTCTAGGGTCTCCAGGCCTGCCATCTCCCAGCCCCTCGCCCAGGGGCAGAAGGTGGCTTGGTGCGGGCAGAAGCCCCCTCTCCTAGCCCCCGGCACAGGGCTGCTGGTGAGCAGGCCCAGCAAAGTGGTCGCTGCCCTGTTGGCTTGACGTCTCCCACCCCTGACCCAGGGTCCCTGGGCAGTCCGAAAAAAGTACCTTCTGTCTTTTCAGGCAGCACCAACAGGGAGCAAGGAAGAATACCAGTAATACCAGGTAAACAAAGCAGACCAGAATAGAACAGTCAAGGCTCTGAAAACTAAGTTGTTATTGGAACCACAGCCCACAAAAGTGGGCCAGAATTTATGTGATAAACCTAAACAGTATGACTTAAAATAGAAAATTTAAACAAGATCTAGAGTGTCCTAACATACTTTACAAAATGTCTACAATACAATGGAAAATCACTCATCATACCAAGAACAGAGAAAATTACAACTTGAATGAGAAAAGACAATCAACAGGGCGCCTGTGTGTCTCAGTCAGTTAAGCGGCTAGCTCTTGATTTCAGCTCAGGTCATGATCTCAGTGTCCTGGGATTGAACCCCACATCAGGCTCCATGCTCAGCAGGGAGTTTGCTTGAGGATTCTCTCTCCCTGTCCGTCTGCCCCTCCCTGCACTCTCTGTCTCTCTCAAATAAATACATAAATCTTAAAAAAAAAAAGAAAAGAAAAGATAATCAACAGGTGTCAATATAGAGATGACACAAACATTGGAATTATTCAATAAAGATTTTAAAGCAGGCATAACAAAAATGCTTTAATGAGCAATTACAGTACTCTTGAAGCAAAAAATTTTTTAATCTACCAAAAAATAGAGAATATAGAGAAGAACCAAATGGAAATTGTAGGACTTAAAAGCTCCAATTAAAAAAAATCTCACTAGATGGACTCAGTAGTGCAATAAAAGTGATAAGGGAGAGAATCAATGAACTAAAGGGTAGAACAATAGAAATTACCCTTTTTGAAAAACAGAAAAAATTGACTAAAAAAAAATGAACAGACTCAGAGATCTATGTATCAATAACAAAACACATAATATTCATATCCTTAAAGTCCCAGAAAGAGTGTGAAGCTGAAAAAAAATATTTAAAGAAATAATCGTGGCTGAAAACTTTTCAAATTTGGTGAAAGTCACAAACCTACAAATTCAAGAACTTGAGCAAACCCCGAACATGATAAATTCAAGCAATCAATAACAAGACACTTGATGAGTTAAAAATCCAAAAAAAGGCCCTATATACCAAGAAGATTAAAAATCTAAAGAAAAAGAAAAAATCTTGAAAGCAGCCAACAGAAAAATAACCCATTACCTATAGACATACCAATTTGAATGACAGAAGGTTTCTCATCTGAAATTGGAAGTGACATAACATTTTTCATGTGCTCAAAGAAATGAATTATCAACTGTATCTAGTGAAAATATCCCTTAAGAATGAATGGGAAATAAAGACATTCTCAGATGAAGGAAAACTAAGCAAAGTTATTGCTAGTAGGTCTACCTCGAAAGAATGGCTAAAGGGGGGCACCTGGCTGGCTCAGCCAATAGACATACAACTCTTGATCTCAGGGTCATGAGTTCAAGCCACAGTTTGGGTGTAGAGATTACTTAAAAATAAAATCTTAAAAGTAAAAAAAAAAGAATGGCTGAAGGAATTTCTTCAAACAGAAGGGAAAAGATAATAGCGGAAGGCGTGGCACTTCCAAAAGGAAAGAACAAGAAAAAAGAATGGGTAAACATGGAGATATGTTTAGACCATCCCCCTCATGATTTTTTT